AAGAAGAGGTGATGCCTTTTCCTCTTCAAATACCCCCCACGGGGTCCCTCAAATGCTACTGGCAATCCCTGAGGTGGTTTCTGAGGTGACTGTAATGACTTTCCCATTCATATTTAATTTTCTTGCCCTTTTAAACATCATTACAATCTATGCATAACTTTCTTAAGATATTTGGATGCATATAAAACATCCACCTGCACACAATCTGCAAATTCTCCTGTGAATTTTTGTCAGATCACTAGGATAGCACGGGTTAAGTTTTCCTGACTTCAGTAACTTTGTTCAGTGTGGCCAGAAATATTAAGTGTCACAGTGTTTCATTCTGTTCTGTAGAAGACTAGTCAATAAATCAGTTCATCATCAAGCAAACATGTGAACCCAATAGATCTAAATACTTTAACAGTACCTGAGGGCACTGTGGCAAATCCAGAAGTGAATCTTCCTTGCAAAACCAATGAATCATTTAATTGACATGTGACTTGTGCACTCATAAATGCGAACTTGTACTTCTAACCTGTGATCAAACACAGGATTATCAATCATAATGGTAACATTAAAAAGTTCAATTAAGGCTTTTTGTTTGTTTGTTCCTAAAGTGTTTTTTTTCAGGTGATACGCTGAACCGTTCCAAAGGGTAAGGGATCTGCTAGTTCCTCTAACCAGGAGACTCTGTCAACAGAGTTGAAAACAAACTCAATTACAGGGTTTCTGGATTCCAGAATTACTAACACCAGGAATGACACGAGGTCTGCAGCCGATAAATTTTAACGTACCACAAGCTGGGTAAGAACTCCAGGAATAATGTGTCTCCATGCTAGAGCTATTTCTGGACTGCCAAGAGGCGTGCTCCACAGCACATCCTTTGTTGTGGTTCTCTGATTTTTCAGCCCTTTTCTGGTCTGTTCATCTTTCCTTCCAATGGAGACTACAACGTGGGGGCAGCAAGGTAGACAGGGATGGTCTGTTCCCAAGTCCTGGCCCCAACGTGAAGTCAGGACAGTTTGGGACATGGATGCTGATCCAGGAATTGGGAAGTACTGCCAGTCACGGAAAAATAAATTTTGAGTCCAGCTAAAGGTAACACTTAGCATTTTTACTTCTTGCGGTGACGTTTTTACATTATTTTAATTCAGTCTGAGAAACACAAGCTTCTTGCTCTCAGCTCATGGTAAGGTAAAAAAGGCAGCTTTATCTTTGGATGTGCAACATAACGTACAACGCAGAACTTCATCTACGATGTAGTAGAACGCTATGCACATTGTGCATTATGCTCCAGGAGACGCTCACTGGTTTTGAATCATCTGGGGCTTAAACGTGGATCTGGGCAAGAGGCACATTCATTCAAAAACAACCTGAAGCTGTCTTTACAGCCCTAACAGTTCTGAATGCATGAAAAAAAAAAAATCTCTTGATTTGACACTTGTTTTCTTCACTTTGCGACGTTAAGAGCTGAGCTCTGTACCAGCACGGTACTTCAGAGTCCGGCTAAACACAGGAGAGCGTGTGCTGGATTGTGCCCTTTCTGCACATGGTACTGCGCTCCTGCGCCCAGCCTCTGCATCCCTGGTTTGGAGATGTGGCACTCTGCTTCATTTCACAGATGTTAATTGAACTCCTTGGCTATTCACAGCAAACAAGGCGCTTCTCCTCAGCCGGGCAGCGCTCCCCCGGGGAGCGAGGCTGAGCAGGAAGGAAACACGAGCAAGCACCCAGCAGAGCTTGCCTCAGCCCCATCCCCCGAGACCGAGAAGCCCCCCC